TAAGTCGATGATAATGCTATATATCACTTCATTTAAAAAAATTACAGTAAAAAAATTCGTGCACTATTTTATCGTTTCTTTGTTACATGGTATACATTAATAGAAATGATATTTGAAACATCTAATTTCTTCATGGTCGACAAACAAAAAAAAAATTTCTTCATGCACGTAATTAATAATTGTAAGAAAAACATGGATAAAATAGGTTTAATTTATCACTCCTACCATGCCGGGGGTGTTTTCCCTTCTGCCGGTTTATCCCCGGGTGCTCCAGCCGGTTTATGTTCGTGTCCTCCACTCGGTTTATCTCCGGGTCCTCCTGCCGGTTTCTGTTCGTGTCCTCCACCCGGTTTATGTCCGGGTCCTCCAGCCGGTTTCTGTTCGTGTCCTCCACCCGGTTTATGTCCGGGTCCTCCAGCCGGTTTATCTCCGGGTCCTCCACTCGGTTTATCTCCGGGCCCTCCAGCCGGTTTATCTCCGGATCCTGTGCCCGGTTTATCTCCAGGTCCTCCACTCGGTTTATCTCCGGGCCCTCCAGCCGGTTTATCTCCGGATCCTTTGCCCGGTTTATCTGATGGTCCTCCAGCCGGTGTATCTGCTGGCCCTCCGGCCGGTTTACATGCTCCGGCAGGCGGTGGAGCTCCTTTTGGCGGTGGATTATCCTTCGGTTTCACCCCCATTCTATGTCTACATCACAGACGCAAATGTATATATGCGTCAAACAATTTTAAAACATTTGTGTACCATATTTAAATTAATTACCGTCACAATTTTCAGATGATGTTTGATAAGTATAAAGAAATTTTGGAAAGTTTATTTTTCTAAGAGAATATAAACAAATTTGTTAACTAAATAAACGGAAATCGAAACAATCAAAACCTAGATATGTTGATGTATGCAAACCTATAAACTATGCCTATAGAAATTAAATTGGTTTCTTATGTCAATGTTCATTCCTATGTCCTAACAACACGTTTTTAAATATAAACAGACCTATCATATATACATGTGCACGTATATGAATTAATATTGTATATAAGCATAAATCTCAAACTATTTTCAACAAAGGTTATTTAAATTTTACTTAATGAGCCAAATAATGAGAGCAATTGCCGTCACTCCTATGAAAGCACCGCCCGTTAAATTGGTGGCTAGGAGAGTAGTAGCTACAGTTGCTGGTACAAGAATCGGACTGAATATCACAAAAAGCGGTGTGACTACGACTAATGCCACGATTGAGCCACCAAGGGTTAGACCGGCGAACGCTAACAAGACTACAGATGTAACGGAGGCAATAACCACCTGAAAAACCTCAAAGATTTGGACGAGACAAGAGAGCATTTTGAGATTAATATGTTTAGATCTTGACGGCTGAAATATGTTTTGAAGCTGTTAAACTATGTGATCGGATGGTTACAACTTGATGATGGGAATAGAGAAGGTTTTTATGAAAGGAGTTGTGAGATGTACGTGCACGGTACAGTACACATTCATGCTCCATGCAAAACGATGTGAGTAAAATAGAGATATCTACGTTACGTCACGCCACATTTTTAATTTTTTTTTTGTCACGCCACATTTGCTTCTTCATTTTTCTTTGTGGGTGGTTCTCATGTAATTTGGACTCCATTTTCTTCCTCTTTCTTGTAAAAACTTGGGATGTTTTAAAACTCAAAGGTATATTTTAAAACAAATTAGCAAAAAGATGCATAACTAGATCACAATCGTCATCATTCACGAGATTATGCGAGAAAGAATTCTCATTAATTATATCGCACACGAAAAATGCCTCCTCTACAATTTCTCACTTCACACATTTGGTTCAAGAACTTTGAGACAACACATTTATCAGTTTCGACGATTTTTTTATTAATAATAATATATTTAAATAATATTTAAATTTTACTTTTATTCATAAAATGACACGTGTATAAATAAATAATCAGAAATTAAAATTTTTAAAACCCAATTACAGCTTACTTAACCCTAATTATGTTTCATAAAATTAGCTAAACCAATTTTATTTGGTCAGTTTTTTAAGAGATGATAAATTCATGTTGTTTTATTATCAATTTATGTAGTA